AATGCGCATCGCTAACGAAATTGCTAGCAAAAACATCACCCTGAGAGGAAATGTACCAAAAACAACAAAGGTTTGTAGCAATAATTGAAGGAGAATACATATTTATATAGATTTTTCTTTGCATGCCTAAGCAAGTTAGCAAATTTGATTTTTATGGTATGAAATAATAATTAAATTCTATTTATTTGCTGCTTAAAAAGTATGTATATGGAAAAAAATAGACTTTTATTTATATAATGAAGTGGCAAGTAACGGCTTATTATTCCCCTTCATAATCATTAAAAAATCTGTGACTAAACATATCAGTCACACATAAAAAGAATTCCATTCATTATTGAATTTTTTCCTACTGTAGTTTTACTTTTTATTAAATTAAATTTTGCTATCTTTGTTTAACCTTAGAATTTTGCTAATAACAGAACCATGAAATTATAACATTTATCCATATTTAATCAACATAGATTCAGGTGTTTAAAAACAAAAGATAAAATGTTTTCAAGGTTTTGTATTGATAATGCGTCGTAATTTATTGACAAAATTCAACAATGTAATAAGATATTATGTATACAACTTCTAAATGTTTTCAATTTGAAAGTATGTTTTTAATAATTTGATTAATCAATAAAAATAAAATGAACTCAGGAAACTCTTTGTTAGGAATATATTGTGTTTTGTTTATTAATAGTAAATTTTAATAATTGTAAATTTTTTATGCTTACCATACAGGATTCCCATTTTACATCATATGTACATCAACCATAGAAGTTGTTATTGGTAACCAGTAAAAATATATATATTTTAGCAGCACATAAATGCTACTATTTTAATTGATTTCCATGTAATCTGTCCAAATTTGACTTTATCTCAAATTCCATTTTGTTAATGAAGATAACAAATAAATTGCGACCTAAATTTTGTAGATAATTTTCTTAGCTTTGATTGTGTATTATTTTCTACAGCAGATTAAATAATCAATTAGTAAATAAAATAAACAAGTATATATATTGGATATTATTATGTCATACCCTACAAGGTCGGACTATGTTTCTGTTTGGTGTTGGTGCTAATTTTATCTACTTTTCAGGAAAAGGAAGACCAATACCCTGTATCACCCTGGCTCCTGGCTCTCTTCATCTTCGTAGTATGCGGTTCTGCAGTCTTCCAACTCATACAATCTATAAGACTTGCCTAAACTGTGATGCCTTTTCATACAAAGATATCTATGAACATGGCAACACATTTAAATAGTCTGTTCTAATTACTCGTTTTAAGATGTTGTCTTAACCTAAGAAACAATGTTCATAGCTATTGTCTGTGGCACTTCAATGCGATTACCATGACCCTTTCCCATCACCACAGACACATTCCCCTAGTTCTCATATCGCATAATCTCAGACCATAAATGTACTATATTCTTGTATATTGTAAATTGTCATTAATATTAAGATTAGCATTTGAAAATTCCATTCCTTTTATTTTCAACGCACAATGCGTTTAGTGAATTTTATAAATCATTTTATCGTTTTCCACCCCAATGTGCGAAATTATTTCGGTACTATTTTTAATTATTGTAATTTATTTGATTAAATACAGTATATTTGTCGAATTGTGTTTTTTTATTTACCACTTTGTATGTCTGAAACTATTCTCATTGACATAGTAATTGTTTTCGCTTGGTATGACAGTAGAACATCTGTTCACCTACATATTCCTTAAAAGGATAAAATATATAACTCTAAATTCAATCTAATCTATCGATATACAAAAAGAAGGTAAGGTAATTTACGTTCTAAGCTGGATTTCAGATAATTAAATGAAATTTAATTGTCTGATTACTGTATACTTGGAAACGTGTAAATTATTGTGTGTGAAGTGAACTCTGGCAATTGTTTTATTAATTTTTGATTAAATCTTTTAATGAAAAAATTAAATTATTTTTTAAATTTTAATCGTTACATTCTTTAAAGCAGCACACATTCACGGCCGAACAAGAAGTGGTAGGTAATACAGACAAGAAGGGCATTTTTTATAAGATAGGGGGGCAAAAAGAACTGTAAAGGAAGGAAGCACATGGACACCCAGTTTAGTAGGGAGCAGTATGCTCTTTTATTAAACAATTGGAGGTCGTATCACCCAAGGAAGACCCTACCGCGAGTCGATCCCGCAAACGCTCTGAGCTCTTAATGTAATAGAAGGCTCATCTGATGTTAAGTGATACCGCCGCCCATGGACAGTCACATTGCCAGAAGGCTCGCAAATGCGTTGCTTATAACAATTGGTGCGTTCTTTTCTTGAAGGACCCTAAGCCGAATCGGTTCGGAAATTCTTCAGTGGGCAGCTGGTTCCACATAGTGGTGGTGTGCGGAAAAAAATGCCTTAAGAAACGCTCAGTTGTGGAATAACGGTCGTCTAGGTGATACGGATGGTATTTTGGACTCAGTTGCCGCACTTAGACGCCCATTTGGTCCGTTGTGCGTTAAGTCCTGGCGCTGGGTGCAGACAGCTGTTCCGTTGAGTTTAAGGTGCAGAGCGTGCTTCAACTGTAGCTGTGTTCATTTTACTACTAAAGTTGGCTGGCTACTGGCCCTACAGGTCACAATTTTCTACACAAAATAAAAATAAATCAGTGGCGCTACAACCCCTTTAAGTCTTGGCCTCAGATTTCTGAATCTGTTTCATGATCATTTTTAAATCTAATAGGCAAGTAGGTGATCAGCCTCCAGTGCCTGACACTCGCCGTCGACGTTTTGGGTCTAAGACATGTCGGTTTCCTCACGATTTTTTCCTTCACCGTTCGAGTGAATGTTAAATGCGCACATAGAAAGAATTGGTGCACAGCCGAAGATCGAATCTATGACCTCAGGTATGAGAGTCGCACGCTGAAGCCACTAGGCCAACACTGCTCAAATTTACTACACAAGTGCACACATATTTGATAACTCATCCTATGGGATGTCTGATTCTTATCCGTTCTAGACTAGATATTTTTGAAATATAGAAGCATTTATTATTCATATTAATGTTCATAAAATATATACATGAATAACTTTTATTTTGATTTAATTCATTAGTTCAGGCGTAATCCGCAGAACTATAGGACACCAGCGACTATACACGAAGTAGATGAATAAATAAAAAACATGAATACTGGTAGGTTTTGAGTTTATTTTCACTAAAAGTAATTTTGAGAGCTTCGCGCTTAACATAATAGATGAACTATATAATACAAATTTACATTAGTGTCATGTGATACCTACATAAGTGCAATTTCGTCTTAACGTAGAATTTACTTATTAGAAATAAGTTTTATGAGATTAAAACGCGTTTCATTTCACAATTTCGCTATTATAAAACTCGACGATCCGCGTGTTTTAAGGCATTTTGAAACTGTTAAAATGTTGTATGTGATTCAACGCGTTCTAATCATGTGAAACTATATTTTGCTTAAACGTGTGATAATAGCGTAACATATATAATTATTAATCGGTAAAAAAGGAAGGAAGGCAAAATTTGTTTGTTGATATAAAAATACTAAAAATATGCTCTGCAATTTCACCAGCTCTTCGGTCGTAGACTTGTAGCTTGATGTCATGTGTCCTGGGTATTAACATCCAAAGGTGTATTCGAATAGTTCCGTAAATGAGTTCACCAAATTCTTCACATTTATAATATTAGTATAGATAAATTATTATGTACATAATTGCCATCCTTCACTAAGAAATTAATTGTGTATAAAGTTTATTCTTAGTATATATATTTCAGCACCACGAATAGCACCTACAGTTCACTTATAATTATCGTGCAGACATATATTGCCTGACCTGCAGACGTATACAACAAATACATATTATATATATTTAATACGATATGAAAAAATATTAAACTAATATATTATATATTGTAGACTAGATAAAAAATATATTGTCATGTCCAATAATACTTAAATGGTGCATTTGAAAGATAGAATCGTGTTTGACACTTCGATTCGAATTTAAAATTATCTATGACACTGGATAAACAACCGTCAAATGAGTAATTGCAAATTTTTCGTTCTTTGGTTTGATAACGAGTGGCTCTGACATTAACAAACGATTAAACTATTAGCGCTTGCATCAAAAATATTTTTTATCTATGTTCTTTGTAGTCTTTGATATTGTATACTCTTGTTTATGGATACTCTAATCTGTCTATATATAACATTGATATAAACCAAAAACCATATTATTTCTAAACTTTAAAAAATATTGATAAAAATTGCGCGTTATTCATGGTGTTTTTAATAATTAATTTTTAGAGCTTCAACTCCAAGCTTATAGCTACAGAGCTGGATGTTCTGAACTAAATCTTTTTATCCTTTGATTTTGCCAAGCTTTTAACAAACACGATTGACTAAATGAAAAATTTGCAATTATCATATTGTGTACAACTTATTCTACTTGTTTACTAGTCTGTGCTTAAAACTTTGTCGATAGCCCAGTGTTTAGTAATGTCTACAGATTATATTTACAGATACAAATGTCAATTTAATGTACTCTCAGTTAAGTCCGTTTACCATTCAGAGCAATTATTTAGTATTGTTATTCCAGGGTGCCATGTTTTAGCTTACGTTACTGATATTTTATATTATGAACGAAATAAGAGCAAGCAGACATAATGATCTCGTAATTATCAAAACCTATGACTTGGAAGATCAATAATTGTATTGTATTTATTGTAATTGATCAGCGGAAAAATATTAATGGCACTGGCAATGTGATAGGGCTCCAAAATAAATTAACCCAATTAAGACAAACTTGCCTCTATATTATTTATGGAATTCGACATTTTGATAATCTGCCAACTGGTTTTGTCTTTAAAGATAATTGAAATGTTACTTCTAAGTTTTGTTCTCTAGATTCACGTGGTTGTAGCGTGTCAAATCGGATTACTGGTAGTACAAAAAAAGCGCAGAGTTTAAGCGAATTGAAGACGACACTATTTAAACTATGACTTATTGTGACTTATTTTAAAGTATCATAAATGGCCTCGTTGGGATATGTACCATTTAAATGGATACTGTTACTAAAACTAATCACATTATCTTTACCTAAATGTATCTCTGTCCTATCTAAGCTTTGATTATGGCTCTCCGGATAGTCATCCATATTGCTGGTGATTTCTAACCTAATAGCATGTTTTGGTTCGACTTTTACGTTATCACGCTCCCAAGAATCTATTATCGAGACGTCGTTCTTGCTTCCCGTCTCGTCAAAATCGCTGGACGCGAGGCTGGAATCGTCCAAGTCGAAGTTCGTGGTCTTCTCTATTACTACTACTTCAATGTGACGAAAAGCATTGTCTTGGTTTTCGATCATCTGTCTCGCTCTTTCATCGTTGCGAGTGATGACTTCCTTTTTAACGATACAGATAACAGGGTCATTTGCTAAGACATCATTCGAGTCGTAGTCGTCGTCATTTGTTTTGATTGGTGGAGAGCAGATTTCCGCATAAATGTTGTCCGAGTTGGAATCTGTTTCTATTTTTTCTTCTTCTATTTCGACCGCGTCTGCTACTTGTCCGTACGGTAAATCTTCTATCACAGGTAGTTTTCTCTTTTGGATTGAAGATATCGAACGCCGCACTTTCTTTTGGATCTGTGGTTCTTCTTCTGAAATGTTGACTGCGGATAGGTCTTCATCTATTTCTGATCGCGGTGTTGGGGCACGAGGCTTGTCAATCTTTTTTCTAAAGTTAACTGATTTTTCGTCGGTTCGTTCGGTTTTGGTTGGCATACTATTGCTGTTACCACCTTCTTTCTTGTCATTCGGTTTTTTAGGATGAAGTAAGTTTGAAGTGGATTTACTCAGAACTCGTTTGGTTTTAACATGAAATTCTGAACACAACTTTTCGGTTATAAAAGAATGTTGTTTGGAATTCACCTCGAACTCGCTATCATTGTATACCGACCCAGCACTAAACATATTTATTTCCTCACAACTCTGGATTTGATTGTATGACTCCGATTTAGCAATAGCCTTTTCGGGAATCAAATCCGGCTGTATCCTTTGTCGCCTCTCCAAATGTGTAGATGACTTTGTAGCTGATGACTTCTTGAGCATGTTCTCATCCAACGATTTCAGTTTTCTGCCCGAACTAGAGCTACTTTCCATGGAGCCACAATAGTTAATTTGATCTACGCTTAAATTTTTTCGGCCATGTTTCATGTCGATGCCACTGTCTTCTTCTGTGCACGGGCTGTCGGGCATACCAGTTTGCACGGACACTGATTTAGTTAGTACTGGTTTCTTGTGACTCGAACTACATTGGCTAGTTCCCATTTCAGACGAAGAAGTAGTCAAACTTTTATACGAATGGCTCTTCTCTGCTGTACCATCATTTTTTCTAAACACACCAAATCTATCTTCGATTAGTTTCGCCATGTCTTGGTATCTCTCAATTGAACTATGTTTTTCACCTAAAGGATCGAAAGGATCTTTGATATCCTTATGTCTTTCAGAATTCTCTATTGCAGTTAACTTATCATCTAGTTTATCCGTGCTCTTTAATAATTTTAAGTTTTTAAACCATTTACTTTTCTTATGAGTGGAATCTTCTCTGTCACCATTAGATTTTTCATGTGAAAACTCTTCATGTTCAATTTTATCATCGTGCTTATCGTCTTTACCCTCGTCGTCACTGTAGACGTCGTAATTCATATGTTCGAGTTCGTTCTTACTAAGAAAAATAATGGACCCTTCAGTTTCGTCTGGGATATCCTTCAGTACTTTTTCACTTTTTCCGAAGAGCCGTGACGTATCAATTTTTAGACCTTGTAGCGTAAATTTTCTTTCCTTTTCGAACTTCACCGGTTCGTGGTCTTCTTTCATGAGATCTGTAGCCGTTTTCGCTTTGCTGACGACAGTTGAGTTTGCGTATGAGATCTGTCTTATCCAGTTGTCAACATTTAGTTGACAGAAGGTGAGAGCTTTTTGGAGGCGCGCGGATAGGAACATTCTCTTCTCACTTTCAAAGCCGAGTTGGGTGCGACGGACCTTAATACTGCTGTTAAGTGGGAGGAGCTGGAAGGTCTCCTTGGCATGATACCTAGGGTCGACTTGCTTGTTGATATTGGGTTGCGAGTTGTAATCGGGGAGAGTGCACATGACTAAAACTGGTTCAGTGACAGCTTCTCGTAACAGAAGATCATCTGGAATTAAATAAAAAAAAAATTAGATACAACTATTTTTTGAGCTATTGCATAGATTTAATCGCGGGCTTTGTGCGCGGCGACCGAATCAAGAAATTCCGTAACGAAAATAAAAACCTAACACACGATGACGTAATATAGGTGCGGCCAATACGCGTTAGAGCGGGACAGAACGCATACTGCGTATTCACATATCTCTGACGAGATCGTTAACGTAGCGTAAGCGCGGCCTGTGCAGCCGGTACGCGTTAGAGTGAGATAGACTATATAGGCGTGTTAGTCTGAGTCTGCATAAATAAAAAATAAATAAATAATTATTGTATAAGTTGATAATAATGCTATGCAATAGCTATACCGCGGCAGTCACCGATTGCCACACGTTTTTTTAATAATATTTATTTATATTTTATTTACAATAAACACATTTTTGACTTAACATATAACTTAATCAACAAGAATCCAATAAAATATCACAGACAAATAAAAACAAATCAGAGAAATTAATTAGGAAAAAATTCACTCAACGGTCCAGAATAGGTCCCTAAAAAACCTATGTAATTCGAATGTCCTTGGAACGTATACAATTAAATTATATACATTGCAAGCGCGAATTTTCGGCGTAGTCTGATCACATATGTTTTAGATATAAGTTTATTTGTGAATCGACCCGAAGATCAAATCAAAACTACATGTCCACAATTTAAAACGGAATTAATTATTATGTGTTAATTACCTCCAACATCATGCGCCATCTCAATAGGAACTGTGCCGGCCAGCAGCCTAACTCTGGTGGGAAGTCGCCATAGACTAAGCAAATGCGGCATTCTGTGCGCTCTAGCTGACACTTCTACCGGCGGGGTTGAGTCTGTGGCGTCCTCCCATTCCGCAGGTGACAACTCTTCGGGGCACACTTCGTAGAGCTCACCCTTGGTGTTTAGAGGCACGAACAGTTCCTGGAATAAGTGTTTTCTAGAATTAAAATGAGCTTAGGATTTAGAATTAATTCGATTTACTATTTTTGCTTTTGTGGCCTATTACAGAGCGTGCGACTCCCATCCCTGAGGTCGTAGGTTCCCCTCTGTGCACCAATGGACTTTCTATCTATGTGCGTATTTATCATTCGCTAATGGTGTAGGAGAACATCGTGACGAAACCGGATTGCCATAGACATATCATCAGGCACAGAACGCTGATCACCTACTTGCCTATTAGATTGACAAATGATCATGAAACAGATTGAGAAATCTTTGTCGCCACTGATTTATTTATTTATTTTTGCTAGTCAATACTTAGGCACATACTTTTAAATCGAAAAAAGAAATTGTACGATCTGTACAAGTTTGAGGTAGTTTTTTTAGACAAAATAAAGATATTTATCCCTTACAAATAAACGAACATAAATAAAATATTTCTTTACAATATAATTTCAAAGTATCTATCCATAAAGTTTATCGTTCGTGTCCTCGCTTAATCGTGGCAGAGACAATAAAAAATAGCTTCCTCTATGAGACCTGTGGAGATTTTTATGTTCGCATAATATATGCCCAGTCAGGCAACTTTATGTATCCGGCCTGCGAATGCAAGTTTTAATTCCTTACTTATAAGCGGGTTTTTATGCAACTCATTAGTTCTTCCGTTTAATATCAAATATTACTCTATTGAATAGAAATTAATGGAAAAACGCGAATGTACCAAAACCCGGATCGTTTCTGTAATCTCTGATAATTATTCTGTTTCCGAGCCACATCATCGATTTTAAGGTATTATTTTCATATATACGTTGGAGCAATGGCGCTGGTATCGGCTGCCATTTTTATTATAATTTAATAACATCAAATCATCAATCATCGACAATTGAATAGTTGTTAATTTATAGATCTAGCAACAGGTTACTACAGACTATTAAAAAGTCTGTTAATCTGTAGATTTATTAATATTGGGAAATCAAATAAACAATATACCTGTTTGGAACTAATTTGACTTTGGTGTTATTAAATTATAATAAAAATGGCAGCCGATACCAGCGCCATTGCTACGGCATATAATATATATATGACACGCACAATGTACATGAGAAAAAAACATAAAATGTAAAAATATATGCCGTCGCTTTCATCAAGCCCATATAACAACAGCTCAGGGGACCCGCTGTTAGAAACGCTCGCTCTGAAATATGTTATATATCTGTATAATTGCTTCTGATTTTACGTACATATATGCGTACGTTGACGAATGTACTTAGTGTTTATTTATTAAAGTACACCACATCATATATTTATGTTTCTACAGTATATGATAGCTATGGTGAACATAAATTTTACGAAAAAATAATAAAAAATATTACACTTCCAATTTTAGTTTTAACCAGTAATTTTTGATTAACAACAACAACAATGCGGATTTGGTACCAGATAGGCACTTAACAATTTAAATTCATCAGCCTACTACAGAATATATCAAGCTCTCGATGAGTGGTGTTCATTCTGTGTTCGCGAAGAATTCGAATGAGAGGTGCCTGAACTCCTAGGTTCGTTTCTATAGACGAAATTTGGAAAATTATTAACAGTGATTTAGAAGTATAAGAAATATGTGTGGGACTGAATATAATTTTGTGTGTATTTGGTTATTTAAATATTAAACTAATATGGATGTTTTAATGCAACTGTTTATTAATTAATTAGTGTCAATGTAAAATTTGTTAGTAGGAATTGGATAATGTAAGCCTACGACCAACCAGGCTCCAGAAGATAAATCACTCCATATATGGAAATTGTATTCGTTTTTACAACAAACTCCCAAGCGAAATTAGAATTATCATTGTATAAATTCAATCTCTCGTTAAACGTAAATTAATCAATAAAGCTTTTTATACATTTGACGAATACTTAAATGATCCTAATCCTTGGGATTGATTTGCTCCAGTTCAAACAATTTGTATGACTCAAAACTTGTCGATTAAAAAGAGTGTCGGAGAGTTTCTTGCCAGTTCTTCTTGCTCGCTCTACGCCTATATAATATAATAATTTAGAAATTGTTTAACTTCTTATGTTGACGTTCATAAGTGTACTTGTTTACCTATATGAATAAAGTTATTTTGAGTTTGAGTTTGATAAAAAAGAGGATTTTAATTAATTTTTTAGAAGAATCTGAAGTTGTTTATATAATAAGCTAATGAAGCTATCAAATATAATAAGTGTGAGTTAAATGAAGAAGTGTTATTCATTAAAACAACACATTTAAATGAGTAATATTTGGGAACCCTTTTTAGTATAAAAATACCTGTGTTCCCAGCTCTTCCTTAACAAATTACAATTTTGATTTTTTTAAACTTTTAAGACAAGTCATCACCAAATGATGCACCATCTACATATGACCAAGTTTTACTTGCGTATTTAAAGAATTCATTGGTAGCCGAGCTTTCAAAGCTCACTCAAGGTTAAAAGTTGCACGCTGAAAAACCAAGCTAACACTGAATAAATTATCTTTGAAAAATATTATGAAAAAATTCCCAAAAACGGATTTTTGCGAAAATCGAAATCATTACGAGAAATTAATTTTCAAAATCTCTTAACCTTTAAAGGATATCTTATCTCAAACAATCTAAACTCTATTCAAAATATTACAAAACAAAATCATATGCAAAATGGGCTGTCAATTTACGCTTATCAGTTTCGGTTGTGAATGTACACACGGATAAAGGTGTATACACACACTGACACCCTGAATAAAATGTTTTAATTATTTCATTTAGATAAAATTAATGCATGTATACAGTGCTTTATCTATATTTCTATGCTAAAGCCCACGAAATGAGCTCCACCATCACGTGAATATCGAGGCTATTCAACTTGACACCACGGGCCTAGTGAGATGAGTGAATTAGTGTTAGTGCACGTTAGTCTTAAGTGCTAAACAATGGTATGTGAATTGAACACAAGAACAGAGTGTCTTCTTTTTAATAGAGACTGTTATTGGACGCTTTCTTCTGTTAAATATCCTTTTTAGTAAATTAGGTTAGACTTAAATTACTTATTAGTCTTAAGTTAGGCTGGATCGATGTTCCAAGATGTCTCAATACTTTTTAAATATCTATATATATAAAAGAAAAATGGTATCGACATGAAACTACCACCATTCGATGCGAAATTTTTCCTAGATGGTTTATGGCTATTTATTTATTAAATTCCAACGTTCCTTCATTTTTTTATTGCTGTTTTACTTTTATGAAAATTTATCCATACGGACTTCACCGCGGAAACATTCGGGGAGGCTTCCTAGAACCTCTAAACGTCAACATCTGTTAAAAACTCGATTTTCGAAATATTTCAATTTTCTTAGCGGGAAGTTAAAAAGAAGAATAATAAAAATATGAAAAAAAAAATAAAATAATGAAACATAAAATTTATTTTAATTCGTCCAGCAAAGCGGGCGCGAAACGGCTAGTATGTATATAAATATAAATATCTATTGTTTCATCGAACGGGGGCAAACGGGCACGAGGCTCACCTGATGTTAAGTGATACCGCAGCCCATGGGCAGCTTGCCAGAAGTCTCACAAGGGGTAGCCGGCCTATGAGGATTGGTAGGCTCTTTAATTTAATTAAATACCTTCTTTCAAAGAGCTGCGAACTTATATATATTCCTAAATTATGAATGGACTCCAGAACTTCGAGTCTCCTTATCTGATTACTTACTTCACATTTTGTGTAATGAAATGTTTGATAGGCGTTTATTAAAGACGCCACTGCACGAATTTTCAAAGGTTTCCCATTAATGTCCTGAAAAGTATCCGCAAGAATACAAACTAATTTGCAGTTTTCCTACAAACGGATAAAAACGCTAGATAAAAAACTTTGAATTGAAAATTCTCGTGTTTTTGTAGTAAAAAATATAACTGACCAGCACTGTGGAACACGTCTGCTCCACAGCATAATGCTGAGCAAGGGTCAGTTACTATCACAACACACACACATTACACACTTAAAAATTTAAAATGTACCTTATTCCTTTTTTTTCATATTTTTTTGTTATTTTTCTTTTTTGATTATTATTATTATTATTGTGTGTGTTTCTGTGTGTTTCGTTAGTAATAAATGTTGTCTGTCTGTCAAGAAGTAACAATGAGCATGCACCTTTACGATTAACCAAGCGAAGTGTTAATACTTGATCTTAAATTAAAATCTTGAATTACGAACGCGATCATATATCATCATTAAATTAATATGGAAATGTATCTGATAAACGCATTACAGCTAAGTATATATTTAAAAAATAGTTTTTTTTTTATATTAAAAGTACATATTTATATATTTTATTTATTTACCATTTGAATTAGTGTTAGTGCACGTTAGTCTTAAGTGCTAAACAATGGTTCGTGAAAAAATACAACGCAAGAACAGATTTTTTTTATAGAACAGAGGGCAAACGCGCAGGAGCCTCACCTGAAGTGATACCACCACCCATCGTATCTATGCCAGGGGGCTCGAGAGTGCGATGCCGGCCTTCTAAGAATTGATACGTTCTCTTCTTGAAGGACCCTAAGTCATAGCGATTCGGAAGTAACTCAATTGGCAGCTGGCTACACAAAGAGGTGCTGCGCGGCAGAGAGGCAAAAAAGTGCCATGTTGTAGAACGAAAACTCGTTAAAACTTGATTTGTGTTTACAGGCATGTTACGTCATAGGGACTGGTGCGACGTCTTGCTTTAGCCATTAGAATTATCATGTTTTAAATTTATTTTTTCAGTATTCATTTAATTAAGATTTTGGTACACATTTCAACAAGTTTATTATATCTAAAATGAATTAAAATCGACTTCTTAAATTAGTATATTTTGGAGAAATATAAAAAAATCTAAGAAGACTCCTCAACAACGCTAAATCTTCTATGATACTCTTGTCTCTTCTTTGCTTCATCGCTTCCCACATACATCCACTTATCTCCATATACCGAGGCCTCGCGGCTGAGTTTCCTCTCCTTCGTCACAGGTTTCGACATGGACAGCCACGTTATCAGAGCATTCTTCCCATACTCCTCCAAATCCTGAATACCAGTTGTCGACACAATGGTGCCGTTCGGTTTGATCACTATGATGTATGGCATACATGTTATACCTATCCAAAACATATAATTTAAATTATTTCGAAGTATGTGTGTACTGGTCGTACTTGAATTCGTGTATGCGGTGATGTTAGTTATTTCGACTATGTATTTGCGTGTTGTTCACGAGAATGTAAGTGCGAGCTCCTATTTCACCATGTCCACTGATGAAAGAGGACAAATCTTTGTTTTTAATTTATTTTATTATTATTTATTACTTAAGAAGTCACGTGGAACATGGGGTAATGGTTGCAGCTTACAAACGTTGTGTAAAACAAAAAACTTGGCGATTGAAAAGTGGCGGAGAGTTTATTGCCAGTTCTTCTCTTCCGTTCTACGCCCTTGATTTCAGAAATGGCAGTAAATGTGACTTGTTTCTGAATATACAGTGGTACCTCGATAGACGAGAACGATATTTTGCTTTGATGAGAGCAAGATTTGAGATACGAGGAATCGCACTAACAGTTTCGATCACCTTAGACTAGAGTTGAGAAACCTCAGACTGGGTTCACGTTTTTTGCTCTTTGTACTTTTACAAAACATACTTACATTTTTATAACCATGATGATGATGTCTATTGAATTAAAGGAAGAGGCTGGAGGGACCGTTCAAGTATTACGTAAGCACTATAGGGGGAGGTCTTTGATTTTTCTATTTGGTGATTACGTCAACAGTAATTATTTCCTTTTAGTAACTAGAAAACGAAATGCATTTTCGAGAATTCCCTAAAAATTTAATACGTAATACTATTATTTTTGAGAGCTTTGCTAACTTTTGCTGACAAGAGGAAGGGAGTGGGGGGATAAATTGCGGTAAATCTGCTCACGTAATACTGAAATCATTTTCTTATTCACAACAAAAACAACGGTGGTGTTTTGGGGGCTTGATTAATAAATCAATTAATTTCAATGGGGAAAATTGCTTTGCGATACGAGCTAGGTTGCGCAACAAATTGAACTCGTATGTACCAGGGCTTCTAAAGCAGACTCGTTTACGGAAAATACATTCAATAATTACCATACATATGCTTCAGTACGTTTATTAGCGGATCATCAATCTTAAGCGTAAACCAATTCGCCTGTCCTTCGTAACAGCTCAGCATATCTTCCTCATTTTCATCCATTGGTACATAAATCACTTCTATTGCCATATTAATGAACTTCACGTTTTCATATATTGTATAGAATTTCTCGACGACACCGTCCTTGTCTACCCCGTTGGATGTGAAGAGGAGGGCGATAACGTCTGCATTCTCTGTCAGCCATTCTAAGGATATTTTCGTGTTTTTCTTGTTGTATATTTGTGCTTCGCGTAGCCAATTGTAAGGTTTCATATCCATGATTTTCAATTTATAAGGATTTTGACGTTGAGAACGTGACATTGACAACTGTCATAATTGTTTTTTTTGTTCGAAAAAGTTTACATTGGCCATAGATAAAATATTTGTCTTGTTCTGTCTTGAGGTTGCTGTTTTGTGAGACAATGAGGTATACCTATAATTTTAAACCTGTTTTTCCTGAAATGATTCCATTATGAGGCAACTGGTATTCATCAACTTAACATACAATCAAAAGTATACCTTTTTAAGAATTCTTTCCCACATATCTAGCATGCTATCTTACGATCCGTATAACCGATTTATAATAAACCTTTTCACAATGTAATACAGCCTAATTTAACTTGTAGCAAACTCTAACGGGTTAGCAATAAAAGTGACATAGCACCCTTTAAACGTCCCATATTTAGTTCAAAGTTGACCGTGCTGTTAAAGGTGCAGTAAAACATATAACTTTACAGTTAGAAAATAAGAGTCATAATTGCTTGAACATTACGCTACATTTCGGTGTATTCCTAACGTCGTTTCTTGATATTAACAAAACTAAATTAGACCTTATGAGCACTAAATAAAGTGTATATTTCTATCAACGATACAGTATACAGAATTGTCGTTGCTAGATGGACGCTGGCCGAAACGTGACGATAAAAACTGTCACAGAATAACAATGGCAGAGTACGTTACGCGAGTTTCGACCTTATTGAAAGGTATTATTGTATGTAAATAATATCAGATTATATTGTTTATTGTGGTGGGCACTCTTGGGGCCATTTCCTATTAGGAACATTCCTGCATTCAATCAATTGTTTGTTCATTAGTGAGAATTTATGATGTGACTGTTGTATGTGATTGTACTATTAAGATCTTATTAAGTTCCTATAACTTGATTCCTATCTTTGTTGAAGGCGCTCATTTTGATTTAGTTATTTTGTGTTCTAGATTTAAGCTTCAATCACGATTCCATTTTTTTATATTAATTTAGGTAACACAATGTATACTTATGAAGGTCAAAAAGAAATACCTATTAAATGCTTCTAATTTTACATTTTCAGTTCTCAAATCAAGGGCGTAGAACGGAAGAGAAGAACTGGCAATAAACTCTCCGCCTCTCTTTTTAATAGCAAATTTTTTTTACGCAACGTTTGTAAGGTGCTGCAACTATTACACCATGTTCCACATGACATAGGTAATTAATAGTTACCTAATAATTTAAAAATTGGTGTTTGTGGGAATCGCTGATGGGGGTCAGCATTGCCAGAAAAAGCCAACAATCTGCTGTGTTATGTAGAGGAACACTAGTGTAAGCAGAAGCCCGGCCAGTCCGAGACATCCTCATACATATCCTTAAGACCTGCTGCAGCCACGCTCTCACGTGCCTACTACTTAGAGCTGTAACCGAGTTGAGGATGCAAAAGGCAAGAATCTACTCACTAGGGCACAGTGGGTTATTCTTCTAATATCTGGGACTAGTGCTATACAGGCACTAGCACTATAATTTGCGATATTTGTTTTAAAATAATTGTTGTTTGATGATTTCAGATTTGATATTATAAAAGAGTACCGAGAGTTTTTTACGCCGGCTTTTTCTCTCGGCCTGCACCCTCTGTCTTCTTTGCCGATGACTAGGGATGTCTACCTTTTCAAATTTAATGACGTGGAATAAGTGATACCTGTATCTTATATTACATAATAAACATTTTTTATATATCTATCCAATACGGTAGCTGCCGAAGCTGTTCCGCAGAATCGTATATGTAATAAAAATAATAAATTTGATCACTCTATATTGAAGATACTTTTAACATTATTTGATTGATATGTTATCAGATCGTCGGAGAATTCATTAACGGTACTTTGATTAATAGATTTTGGGATTGTGATATCGACTTTGCAATTAAATATATATTACTTGGATTCAGAGAATGTTTGAATTAGTGTTTATTTTCTATAATTCCATATTTTATCGTAATATTCGTCCCAAAACCGATCCAGTGTTGGCCTAGTGGCTTCAGCGACTCTGATCCCTGAGGTCGTAGGTTCTATCCCCGGCTGTGCACCAATGGACTTTCGTTGTGCGCATTGTGTGCCAAAAGTCGACGGCGTGTGTCAGGCACAGGAGGCTGATCACTACTTTGCCTATTAGATTAAAAAATGATCATGAAATAGAAACAGAGATCTGAGGCCCAGACCTAAAAAGGTTGTAGCGTTACTGATTTTTATTATTTTATAACGTTACTTGATGATATTAACAAAACCCTTATCATTAAAAACAAGACCTCATTGAAATCTGATGTCGAAAGTTTACGCTGGTTGGAGAAAATTTGTAATTTTCATTTCATGGTGACCTCTGGTTACCAGACTAAAAGAACTTACGCCAACGAATTTCCAATGTAAACGAATTAAGTCGCAAAATTATTTACTATTAAAATTTTACTCGTGCAACGTATAAGTAAAAAATGAAATCTCTAGGTATATATATATATATAAAATTCTCGTGTCACAATGTTCGTTCCCATACTATTCCAAAACGGCTCGACCGATTCTTATGAAATTTTTTATGCACATTCAATAAGACTGAAAATCAGCTACTATCTATCTTTTAAACCCCTTAATGATAAGGGGTCTCCACCCCAATTTTTTTTATGATACAGCATATAAAAATATATACAACCCTTAATTTTCAACCCTCTACGATCAACCTCTATTTTTTTATTATATGTAGATACAGTCAAAACCGTTTATAACGATATTGAAGGGACCGTATAGTTGCCGACGTTATATCCGATAGTCGTTATAAGCAATGTCATATACACAAGTACAGTACATATGTATATACATAGTTATCTATCTAGAATAGGTAGGTATGGGTTATAATATGGTATGTTAATATTATAATAATATGTAAACGAGTCAAAAAAAGAAACAAAAATATTTATTACGAAATAATTAGGTACAAAGTAATCAGTCGTTTTGGTCTGTTTTTTTTTAACTCAGTCTCAAATATTTTTTGCATTTTATCCATATGACATGAGATTTTTCTTCAATAGAAAACACTTTTCTCTTTTTTTGCGACATGATAACACATAAATGCACAATTGCACAGTCTAAACAACACCAACACTTTTAAATCAAACTGTTACTCACGCAGTCAATTAGCGAGCTGAACATATTGTGTAAAGTATGCAAGGTCAAATGGCCGGGAAGAGGCGGGAGAAAGTGCATAGATAATAATATGCCTAAATATTCATTCAATGCTTATAAATAAGATTTAAAATCGTTTGTATTGTTTTGTTTTGCTGAGACAAGAAGCGGTTGGTCGTTATAGCCGATTAATATCGATAAAATTTCGTCGTTGTAAGCGATATATCGCTGTATCCGATGTTGTTATAAGCGGTTTGTTTGCTGAATAGTTTACTAGGGATTCGGACGGGACCATACAATCTGGTTGTAATAACCGATAGGTCGTTGTAAACGATGTCGTTATAAACGGTTTTGACTGTACATACTTATTTTTATTGAACTAAAATAATGTTTCCTAGAAATAATATACATGTCAAAACAACGTTTAACGGGTCAGCTAGTAAATATATATTCGAGTATTATAAGGATTACATTCAGTATATTTCATATTAGTGCATGACCTCACACGGAGTAAAGGCCTGCAAATCCTCCCATTTGTCTCTCATCTTAAAAAGGCACCCCTGATGCATCGAAGGCATAGCACCAATGGTATCCTGAATGTGTTCATCACAAAGAACATGGCGGTTTTTTGTGACGTTGTGCGCGCGCATCGCAACAAATTGCTCTCATAATTTTTCGCTAACGCGCCAAAAGAAGTATAACTTCGAAAATCGCTATTCCCTGGCCAGCATCAGCTCGTTTTAATAGTCCGTCTCTATTCGTACAAAATCTCAAGTAATTACTCCGACCTCGGCAAGGTCAGGAAAGCTATTAGTTAGCTCTGCTCTCGTTTGCCGATAAAAAGGCATCTCGCTCTAATGGATCTTGCATTCCAGCATAGATTGATGAGATTTTTATTTTATTTTTAATTGGCTGCAATATTAACCTAGCAAGGGATTTTTACCAGTAGAATTTTTCGGTTTCACTCAAACTCAAAATAACATTATGAACGTCAACAGAAAAAATTATTGATTCTAAGTTTACATTTACTACCAGTTCGCAAGTCAAGGGCGCAGAGCGGGCAAGAAGAACTGGCAAGAAACTCTCCGCTACTCTTTTTAATCGCCAAGTTTTGAGTCATATAAATAGTTTGATCTGATATTAATCTGGGGTTTTAACCCTTTATACCGAAAGTTGCAGGGGTATGTGGAACTGGAACCACACCAGAATCTCAGCTATTCAGAGACTGGGTGAGCAATACCCACTAAAACCGCCGACAAAGCCGTGTTACTGCTCCGGGGTCGCTCTCGCATTATACCGGGGCGTCAACGGCATAACTGTTACGTTCGAGTTTTGAGTCATACAAATTGTTTGAACTGGAGCAAATCAATCCCACTGATTTTTACAAAACACTAATATCACGAGATATATTAATAATAAAAAATATATAAGCAATATCTAAAAACACATACTATGTTTCCTAATCTTTTTTGTAATACCACCGTAGACTTTCTATTATGACCCCCCGTATGTAAGATACATAATTTTTAATATTAAACAATTGAATTGTTCACTTAAGAACGTTTGAGTAAGAAATTAACTAATTGTTAACGAAAAACAGTAGTAAATGTTTAAAACATAAACAAAAACTGAAATTCAAATTACAAATAATTTTAATAAATTTTCGAATACTCCTCTTGCCCCCTGCGGGGCGTGGGCCCCATGTTGGGAAACACTACCTTAGACAAATATACATCGTAAGGCACCATTAAGTATTAACTATTTCGTTTAACCAATCAGTTTATTTTTGTTGATCTTTCAATATTTTCAAACGCGTTTTTTCAGTTTCATCAACTCAGTGTCTTATGTAAAGAAAGTTGAGAAAATTATAAATGCCTTCTTTCTCACGTTTTTGAATGTCTTCCAAGTATTAGGTAAGCCCTAAGGGTGGGGGGAGGCATTTCTTTGATTTGGTTGAAATTTTCTATGCTTGAAAACGAAATGCATTTTCGAGGAAATTCATACGTTTAAGTACTATTATTTATGAGAGCTTTACTTACTTTTGCTAACAAGAGGAGGGGGGGGGGGCAAATAATGCAGTAAATCTTTTTTTTTTAAAGACAATTCACACCAATTGACCTAGTCCCATGCTAAGCTGGTGAAGCTTGTGTTATGGGTACTAGGCAACGGATATACATACATATTATTATAGATAGATAGATTTAAATACATATTTAAACACCCAAGACCTAAGCACAACACCAAATGCTCATCACACCGATGTTCGTCTCAGCCGGGGATCGAACCCGGGACCCATGGATTCGCAGTCAGGGGTACTAACCACTAGACCAATGAGGCGTCAAATCTGCTTACGTAATACTTGAACGGCCTCTTATGTCCAACTTAATAGCTATTTATAACATCCCTACAAAATGTCTAACTCTACAGGTACCTTAATAACTGGACGTTCCGTTTCTAAAACGAAGAAAAAACAAAATCGTGACACCCCTATACCTTCGTCCTAGCAACGCGGTTCACAAAGGACACTGCCCTCATATTGCAGAAATATACAATAATATTCTAACAAAAGCACTCTTACTCACCGGGAATAAGGTTCGTTTACCCCAATCCGGGCGCACTGTATACGTTGTTGGGCATTCAAATTCTTTACTTCAATTTGCGTTTGCGTTAGACCTTATTATTACGGGCATAGGGTTGATTTTCAAATAATTCGTTTTGGAGTAATTTTGTGCGATCCTTACCGTAGTCCTGCTGAGCCATACTATGGGTTGTCGAATGAGAAGTTAATGTTCTTTCGAGTGTCTAATCTAGTGCTTCGTTTTTGAACTTCGAACGCGTTGTCGGTTTGATCGCTATTTTATGTGGCTATGAAATTTTAAGACGCACAGCATACTGACAATGGGAAAAGGGAAATATCTAAAGAGCTTTTTGCTTCATACTTACTTGTGTAGTATTATTTTTATTTAAAATACTTATATACTTTACTGGTTAATATAGTTTATATATTGATTTCATTCATATTATACTTTTAAAAAAATCTCCGTTGTAATGTTTACGTCTCATTTTTTTTGTATTAATTGTATTTCTTTAACTCTAGCTTATAAAGAATTAATTTTTTACTGTGGTGTAGCCATAGCCAGGCCCCAAGGTTAAAATACTATAAGCGATTATAACGGATTAAACAATACCTATCTAGATATTCGGTAGTGGGCTGATGAATTTGAAGAAAACCATTGATAAATGCCTATCTCATACCAAAGCTGCTGTTTTGTTTTTGTCAACTTGAAGCGAGTTTTAAGTTTGCTTCTAGAATACGGGTATTACAAATCGATATCCATTGAAGCTCATTTATTTTATAGTAAAAAGAAGAAACCTAGCATCGGAGCAATAAAGTCTTATAATTAAGATCACAGCTTTGAAGCAAAAAGGCTTTATTGCATGATAACGATCGGAACTCGATTCGAAACACTTTAATCACAGTAATTTTTCATTGTTTTAATTTATAGAAAATATATAGCATAAACATCTTTATTTATTTAGAAGTAACCTTATGGCTACACATATCTATATAGAAAATACTAACGATAACTTAATGTTGCAGAGAAAAAAAAGATTGTTACCACTGCTAAATAAAATCAAAGTCTTCCCGCTTTCCAAATAATTTTCTCACACCTACTTTGGTAAGGTGGGTAACATCTTCATAATTTATGTGATAGTTAGCCCGAAAGATTCGCGAACTACACAGATAATTCGTGTTTATACGAACCAGGAACTATTATAAATATCTTGTCGCATACGACGGAGATTCTAAAAGAAAATAATGACAGCAAATAATTTTACTAATATTTTTTTTAAACTTAGCCATTTGAAAGTGGCCATTGATTTGAGAACTTTTTTTTAATTGGCATTAATGTACATTGTATTAGCTATATGAATAATGTCATTTGTTTGTGTAAAGCGAGGATTTTTACTCTAAAGCGAAACTGATACAATAGCAAAAATTCATAAATATTTTATTGAAATAGAAATTAAATTGTGGCCTGAGTTTGTATCTGAGAAAACCGAACTGATCTATACTAAAAACATTCGTATTTTTGATTGTAAAAAATAAACTGAAAAATACAGGACCAATTTAAAAAAAAATGTTTCACCATTTTGAATGTTTCAAAAACGTTTTTTAATGTAATAGGAGGCAAACGGGGTGGAGGCTCACCTGATGTTAAGTGATACCGCCGCCTATGGATACCCAGCTCGCAAGTGCGTTGCCGGCCTTTCAAGAATTGGTACGCTCTTTTCTTGAAGTCGAATTGGTTCGGAAATACGTCAGTGGGCCGGTGATTCCGCTTAGTGGTACCACTAAAGTTTTTAGATACCACCTATCAGGTTTGTAATTATATATATTGCGGTAAGTGCGTATTGAAAAGCAATTACAAAAACTAGAACTTCACGCTTTAAAAATAAATTATTCTCAGTAATAACACATCTAGAACCAATTATTACGTATATCAATGTCGAGAACCGATGTTAGGGGCTCGTGATTTTTGTTTTGCATTGTTCCTAGACGTGAATCCTCTGAGGAGTTGATTAATAGATGTCGGTATTAACGACTGGCTTTGCTTCGATGGAAATTCCTAAGCGAACTGATTGTTCCTTTTTTTAAAACGTTTTTGCACGAAGAGGCTTTATATGTAGTCTGTAGAGTTACAACTAGAGGTCAATTTCAAATTTAGAATAGTGATTTAAATGTTTATTTTTCTGGTCTTAAAAAAGGATGTTCGTCTATACGGGTTTAATAGTGGTGCTACTATTTATGGCTGTCATAAATTTTATGTCTATAAATTTATATTTTACTAGCAACCCGTGACCCGTTAATCTTGCAAATATTAACTATTATATTACGTAAAGTATTAGACTTTGTGTCGTCAGTTTCTGGAAGCCATGTTTCACTTAGGTAGTAAAAATACCTAGCAAAATTATACGTCTAAACGTTTACGACAGTAGTAACACTTATGTAATGATATAGGCTTGGGTTTCAGCAACTTTATATGTCAAAGTATTTGTCATATAAAATGTATGGTCGATTGGAAGTCCTATTTACCAACTGTATATACTAATATAATTAAAATGATATTTGCGTAATTGTTACTATTAAAACGTGAAATTTTGTGGTTGCCTGGAAGAGATCGCTCGAAAGCGATAAAGCCGCTAGTTGCCTTCAAGTGTTAATAAATAAATACATAATTTATAATAAGGGCTCCCTAATGATGTGATCTAAGGAAAATACACATGTTTAATCTATTAACTAATGCAAAGTTGGAATTCTGTGGTACGAAGACTCAAATTTTTAGCAATGAAAGCTGGCCTTTGGCACAAGGGGATGAGGAGCTGGTGCTAGATATAATATTATAGACTTATTGTAAATACGTTATGATCTGGATAAAAAGCTTTATTATCATTATGTGAGATTCATATCTCTAAGAATTATGATGGTGTAGAATAAATACGAGTACTCGTATGTATTTACAGTTGTCAAAATCATGATATCATTATGATAGTTCGTCCGTCTCTCTCTTTTCTCTCCCCTGGACAGTAGATCCTGTATTAAATCTAAGGAAAACAGATTTTTTACTTACATTCCCCTGAGGATCGATCAGTTGGGCATATTTCGGTGCTTTCGCCTTACTGCCATCAGCGAAGACCCCTGCAAGGCGAAGAGGAGTCCCAGGTCTTGCAGCCGCTCTCTCATACTGCGCTCCCACACGACCGCTGTCTGAAATATATTTCCTAATTCTACAGCTCCGATTCAGGTTCAGAAGGTTAGTTTTTTTAGAACAAAAATGATGACCCTCCTCTATTCATATTAATCTACCAGATGGTGTTTTGTCCTTCTAAATTAACATTATTAAATGATACGACACATTACCAGATACTTGCCTGTACCTATCCAGGGAACCAACACGGCTGTGGGTGGCTGCATGTTGCACCACAATGTATTTAAAAAATACGCCATGGCTAGCAAACTACTTAATCACCTTCCTAGAAGATGTAGATCACTGCCGACTGCTTTCAAGGGGAAGGTGATTAAGTTGTTACAGGCAAGGTGCCTTTATAGGGAGAGTGTTTAGACCATAAGTATTGACAATTATAAATAACTTACGCGTTCTTATGACGTTATGATAATTAATATGACATTTGCATGCCTATTATATGGATCTTTGTGTGGTTCTTTTATAATTAATCAATCTGAATGTACCGCTTTCTTTCTAAATAAAGCATTTATTTTTATTATTGAAATTTACACACATTTATACAATATCTGCGTAGAGTAATGGAGAGAAGCATCTTAAAGATGAGAAGAATTAAAAAACAATAGACATTCGTAACAAAACAAAACTTACACATATACACGCTCAGCTAAATGGAAATGGGCAGGTCATATATCGAGCGAAAAAAGGACACTTACAACAAAATGGACTGGACCTACTGGAAAGAGATGAATAGTAAGACAAAATAGCAGGGAACAACTGGATCGATGTTGCTCAAAACAACAAAGAGAAATAGAAAAATATGAAGGTGGCTTTTTACCCTAAAACAAACAAATACTAGAACTGTTAGTGTTCTAACCTTAATTTTTAGAATTTATGCTAACACAACATAAAATTACCAGTGTAGGAATCCCTTCTATAACACGGTAGATTGGTTCTGCGTTATAGGCGTTGTAGAAGTATACCCGCATAACGCGCTTGTCTGACCCCATTTAACGCGTACAAATTATTCACGTTTAACTTTTCTCGTTCAAGGGGATTTGAATGAACGAAATAAGTGCGTACAAACAACAAATGTCACAGTACAGACATATAAGGGACTGAAATCGCGTAATATAAAAATGCGTTATAAACCGTAATTCTGGGATGGACTATAATAAATAATTCGATCCTTCACTGCCGCGCCGTGGCGAATGAATTTGAACCAACCAAAAGTTAATGAATATACCTTCCTTTTGTACCCTCCAAACCTCCCAAAGAATAAAAAGATAAGAATATTTTAAGACCATTAATAAATAATTACCTGAAGCCGGCCTCGCCCGGTATGCAGATATGGCTCGCGGAGACACGAGGGCGAAGGCTCGATTCCGCAACAAGGCAGATATGGACGCCCGAGGAGTGGCTAGCGCTCCGCCCCGACAGCTGCATGTTGAGAACCAACCTGTAACAGTAAGATTAACTGTAGAACACGTTTTTATTATTCTTAAAACACGTTTATTCGCCAAATCATTTTTGGCGCCAAAAGTTTTATTCGCTTTTTCGTGTTAAATTCTATATTTATATTGTGACAAAAGTAAAACAAATCATTTTCTGAGTTCGAAATAATTTAAAAACTGTAACTATACATCTTTATAAATATTTGTTATAAAGTTAATCTTCTTACATAAGTAAATCCAACGATACGTTCTTAAAAATCGTAGTATTACACAATAAACTTGCAAAGTGAGGTCCTATTTATACTCCGACTTTATTGCATTGTAAGTATTATATCGTAAAATCACTTGATAAACGATACGAACTACGCACAGATCATTATCGTATTTTCATCATTCGAAGTAATCCAAGCCACGTAATAAATTAATTATAAAGTGTATTTGCATTTGTAACGCGGGCGGACTAATTTTCAACCGCGGGAACCGCCATTTCTTGAGTGTCATCTGTCACGGTCAGAGTTCGCAACACTTTGACAATTGACAATTACCTTCACTAGAATTTATGTTGAAGAAAGTCTTAGAAATCTATAAATTATGATGATGTTTAAATATATTTATGTTTGTTAATTTCACGAAGGATGTGTTAGTATAATATATACTATATATTTATTATACAGTATATTTTCATTTGTAACGCGAGCGGACTAAGTATCAACCGCCATTTGTTGCGTATGTCAGAGTCAGAGTTCGCAAAAGATTTTGACAATTGACAACTACCTTCACTAGAATTTAAGTTAATATATTGGTGATATTGTACCTTATTTGGTATTCGTATGTCCTTATAAGGTACTGAGTATTGTAATGAAACGAGGCTCTTCTGGACACGACTATTTAATATGAGTGTTGGTACAATACTGATCTATATTAAAACATTGATGCATTTATATTAATCATGTTGGCACAATATTTATTTGAAATCTTAGTATAGTACTATGTTACAATCCTTTAGAGCTAATTTATATTGAGTAATTTGGTCTTTAAAATCAAGAGGAGTCAAGTCAATTTTTACCAATACCACACAGATTGTTAATTAATTAGTCCACAGATTAAAAACACGAGGTGGTTCATTAAGTTCTGTACTAATGTTACATCAGTTCATTTTGTATTTTGTGTTCAGGCAAAACAAGACTATGATAAAAAATATTGTTTAGCAACAATTACTAAGCTAGTTACTTTCAGTGTTTTACCAACTTAACGACTCCCGCGCAATTATGCGTCCAACAAAACACGTAATTTATATCCGACCTTCCACAACGTAGAAAGCATATAAAAACTTTACAGCTACCCCATCGACCTTTAACTCGTCTGATTTTTAATGCTCACATTATTATAGACCAGGAGCTGCTGACGCTTTAAAAGTCTACACTAATACAGAACATCTTTACGTTTTTTAACATAACTGACAAAAGCCAGTAAAGTGCTTCTTATTTATTCTTATAGAACAGAGGGCAAACGGGCAATTAATTACCTGATGTTAAGATGATAAGTGATACTGCCGCCCATGGATACTCATATTGCCAGAAGGCTCGCAAGTGCGTTGCGTTAGTTTAAGAATTGGTACAATCTTTTCGAAGTCGAATTGGTTTGGAAATACTTCAGTAAGTAGCTGGTTCCACATAGTGGTGGTGCGCGGCAGGAACTGCCTTAACAAACGCTTAGTTGTGGAACGACGGACGTCGAGGTGATACGGATGGTATTTTGTATTCTGCTTTGACGTCCGATTATGAAACTCAGCTGCAGGTATTAGTTTAAATAGCGAGTCTTCTGGCAATGTAAGTGTCCATGGGCGGCGGTATCACTTAACATCAGGTGAGCCTCCTGCCCGTTGCCCTGCTCTTACATAAAAAAATACTAAGATCCTAAAAGCCAGCTCTTGGTCTAAAAACCCTATTAATAAATTCTAAGTAAGCCTCACCTTAGCTCGACGTTGAATATTAATAACGAAAATTATAACTTTGAATTCTTTGAAATTTTTATAATATTGCATTGTTTTAAAATTTACTGGATTTTATCAGTTTTGAGTATCCGTCGTAGCTTAAGGCTATGGTATAAATTAGATCCAGGGTTTGAATCTCGGTGAAGCAATCTTTGTTTTGAGGACATAATTGTTAAGTTAATTATTCTAAATTAAAAGAAATTCCTCAAAACAGATGCGATTGTCTAACTTTTGTGTTTGGATTACCGAAATAGTTTCAGCAGTTTAAGTATTTGTTTCCTACAAACAAATAACGTTTTCTTGTCATTAGTGTAGATAGTTTCATAAATAAAGATAACATTTAATATGTAATTAAAATGAAAATGTGGAACTGAAGATTCAATGTTTTAAAGACATGAGATATTTATACAGATATTTGCAAAGAACTGGCGCCTTTCAATGAATCTTAATTTATTCTATTGTCCGGTAGATGTCGCTAAAACAAACGCGTAACAAAAAGCACAGACCCATAACGCGGTTATTACCCCGACGCGACGTCCAGCAAAAATCACTTTACTCTCACTGATACAGTGTACTTTAATAACAGATACTTTGGAATAGCAATTAAAAAATAGCTGCTCGAGTTATAGACAATAGTCTGTGCGGAAAGACTGACAGTTATGCGAGCCTTAATTACTAGTAGACATTTCATATATTCACAATACTTTTAATATATTTTATATTGTCAAAATGATCACTATCGAACAAAAAAGACGTAAAGGTAAGGTAAGGTAAAAGGTAATTTAACAACGACGCCTGACCACAGTTCTCTTTCGCACAGACTACTGCAACACATTATTTGAGGAATGTTTGCAGAAGTCTGTGCTAAGCAAGAATGTGTTTAATTATTTAGTACAATAAAATCATAACTGCAAAAGATGTAAACAAATCAATAATAATGTTACCAAAAAGTTTAATCGACCATTTTGATCGCTTGTATTATTCTAGCTACTCTGTGAGGACAATTTTAATAACAAAAAGACCCCGGGACGACCTCCAAGGACACCCGCCTTGTAAGGGCTGTCATAGCGAGTCTTACTTACGACACCTTGAAATATTTCAAAGCGTTTTATTTTGATTGACATAGAAGAAGAAATAAACTTGATAAACAATACAGGAGGAAATGCTACCAGCATAAGTATGCCACAGGGATATAACCTATTAAATCTATTTTAGTTTTCTATTCATCCATTTTAATTATGATAAAAAGACGAGATTTAATAGTAAGTTATGAATTTGAGAAACAATAAATCTCCCGCGTACAAGTGATAATTGCCAAACAGAAATTTATCTATCCTCGGCCTGGATTCGAACCCCAACACAAGCTATATGCTTAGCCACATAGTCGTATACATATCGATATTATCAGAAAGACTATCGAACCAATTTTGAATGTTCTTTTTAGTAGAAAAAATTATCAAGGTTTTATTTATCAAGTATTTATTTATTTAACTACTTAGCCTCCGCGAACTTCGTTTCGCCTTAATATAATTGTTTAATTAGCTTATTATAGTAGCTACACTCCAATATAATATGTAACATTTTCCTATGCTATCCCATAGACTAGCTTTTCCAAAAAAAACCTAAGTAATAATAAAAACTAAATTTTCCAAATTATCTCTCCAATAAAACTATTCTCAGAGTTCAAGGAAAAGAAAAAACTCGAATTGGTTCTCGTCTTCGGTATTTGAGCATGGCAACATATTTTGTTTTTATAGATTAAACAGTTTAATCGTGTAAAGTATTATCAGATTCTCTTTATGTTTGGTACTGCCTGACATAAGTTGCATAACGTTCCGTGCGACTGCGCAGGCGCAGGTGTTTATGACTATTGTGCTTTGACAATTGCATATACATTATGTCATAGAGCATTCTAGATCTAGATATTTCAAGGCTTCAGTCGTATGCGAATAGGAGTTTTATTACCTACAAGATTTCACGACCTAAAATTTAATTTAATTTAAACGGCATACAGACGGTGCTTCGTGAGTTCCGTATTGGAACCCTCAAGAAAAAATAAAGCCATCAAAAATATTACTTGTAAACAGTTGTAAGATCCAAGTAACACCAAGTTGGTCAATTTATTCGGTTCCTACTTAATAAGTTACATTTATACAAAAACAAATAACATAATACATAAAAATTATAAGAGATTCAACGGGCGGCCTTATCGCTAACTCGCGATCTCTTCAAGGCAACCCTAGTTAAAGGTAAAAAAGACTAAAAAGAAATATGATGGGTAAAGTGCATAAACAAATATTAAAAAATATTAATAAAACTAACTAAAAACCTAATCTCCGGATTCATGAATCGCAATACAAAAGAAAAGAAAATACAAGCATTAAAAAAGTCATGATTGATATGGTTAAGAAATGTTTATGCAGAAGAGTTTTAAAAGATGTTTGGGAGGTAGCCAATCGTATGGAGTCGGGCAGCCTATTCCACAACTTAATAGCGGACACCTAAACGAATCTTATAGTGACGACATTAATATTACACATCTAATTTGTTTGAAATAAAACCATTGACTTTGAAATATACCGTGTCACAATCCCTGCTTGGTAACTGAAAATTCAGGCTTCTAATTTTATCTACAACGAAGTTCGGGAGTGGAAAATGGCCTCAACTGCTTCGAGAATGTTTCAGCCGGGCCCGATTTTTTGCTTAACTTTTCGGGCGCACTGCCGTGCTCCCAGACCGCATGATTAATGATGAATTATAATGTATACAATTTGGGAACCCATTTAAGTAAAAACCTGTGTCAGGGATTCTAGCTCTTCCATAACAAACTTAATATTTGCAGAGTTACAGCGGACTCTAGCAGATAAACGCGAAAATTACGTTAGTAAACCGACGTTTCGAGTGTTGAATTCTCTAATATATTAAGAAATACACAAAATATTCAAAAATTCAAATTCAACAGCTGTGTTTCAATTCAAGGATGTGGTACGCTTTTCTCATTTCTCCTATAGGTTCGGAAATACCTGGAATAACCACTACATAATAATATATATGAAATAAAATAAAAAGCGCTCTGTTTCCCCAAGCCAGATGAGTTAAACGTAGGAAATCTTCTTGGGAACCAAAATATAAAAATGATATACGATATTTTATATCGAGAGTGTAGAAACGTTTACCACAGACTATAGACATAAAAAAAGGAATTGTTTAATTGATGCTAGATTAAATTTCATTATTGTAATCGAGATGCGGGGTCTTGACAACGATTTAGTCAAATACAAACCTTATAACTGAATGTTAGTAACCGTTTTATTAAAGCGTATGGTTTACAATGGTTTGAGACGTACAAAAGCTCACTTGATAAGAGAATCTTTCTAAGTCATTAAAGCAAATAAAAAAAGCTATAGAAGGATCTTGTGTGTAGTAATCAATAGAATTTATTATAAATATATATATTTTTTTGGTGCACATTCGGGGCTTGATCCTACGACCTCAGGGATGAGAGTCGCGCCAATACTGCGCTATTAATATATATATTTATTTATTTCACATCATTATTCTATTCTACTTTACAGTTATTACTAATTCGATAGTATAGGAAGAACTAATAATATAGGAAGCAAATCTATATATATATTGAGCAATAATAAAAAAACACAAAATAAACAGGGGGTTATAAATCATCGGGTGATTTACAGTCGAATAAAACGAGAAAGATTCTACTAAGTTAACTGTTTATATTTAATATCTAAACAGTGAAAAGTAAATCAGCGGACCTTGGTTGAGTGCAGGTAGCTCAAAACTGGAGCTATTATTTGCCAAGAGCCTTATTTTGCAAACTAACTGTAACTGTACGGTATACAAACAATTCTCATACTTTTAAGATGTAAAAATATAAAGGGTAGACTGATCTAACTAGCTGTCAGTTCTGTGACGATATGGACTGATGACAGAATTTTACAAAGGTCACGAAAGGGAGGGATAGGATAGTAGGAAAAAGGCCGGCAATGAACTCGCGAGCCCTCTGGCATTGAGTGTCCATTAGTGGTATCACTTTACATTAGATGAGCTTCCTGCCCCTTTGCCCCCTTTTATATATAAAAACAACTGAGCTCTGAGACGATTTGGACAGATGACAGCATTTTACAAAGGTTACAAAAGTTAGGGGAAGAATTGTAGGGAAAAAGTATAGGAGAGGGGAAGGGTGGAGAGGAAGAATAGTAAAAAAGGAAAGGATAGGAGAGAGGAAGGGTGGACGGGAAACTCAAACTCAAAATATCTTTATTCATATAGGTAAACAAGTACACTTATCGTCAAAAGGAAGTTAAATTAATTGTAAATTTACATTTACTACAACTACTAAAGGATGAAATTCGGAAGTCTCAAAGAAAAATTTATTGCATTAGTTCACACCGGTTTTCTGTGAGACAGTTGTATTTTCCTTGAAGCCCATGTCACTTCTACTCCAAAACAACATAAAGAAACCATCAATATTGAACTATTCAACGGTTATAGTATGTTTATTAATGACTGTAAAACCTTACCATTTCTTATATCAACAGTTTCAAAGAACAGGTAATTGGTGAAATACATATTCATGTATAATGTTAAATCTCTTTTAAATTACCCTAGGTGTCTTAGCTGGTCTATCTCCCAGAGCTAGATCTAGGCATGCGCTGATAAGTCGGCGCGTGCGCACAATCCAAGGCGATCTTTCAAAGCGGGTCGTTGACTTCACAACCGGATATTGGTCGTGCCTTACTAGATTTTGCAAATTAGAATACCTAGTTTAGTTTATCTATATTGTACTAATTTTTTGAACCACGATTAAATTAAGTTTCTAAAGCTTACTTAGGTAAGCAAGTTGTTACCGAGGACTGTATATCTATTAAAAATATAAACTTCTAAAGTATTTTTTACATAAACCCAGGGACTAACGGTGTTTGCCGCGCACCAACACTATGTGGAACCAACTGCGCCCTGAAGTATTTCCGAACCAAATCGACTTAGGGTTCTTCAAGAAAAAAGCGAATTCTTAAAAGGCCGGCAACGCACTTGCGAGCCTTCTGGCAATATAGTCCATTCATACGATGTTAATTAGTTTTACTTAGATGTGAATTTTCCATTTTTAAAAGTCAATTATTTAAAGACACCAGTGTGTGGACTTTATAATAAGTAAAGTATTTTACCATAGATAATAACTGTTCAGCTTGAACTCAAATTGAATTAAAGTAAAAAAAAACAATTGATAGACATAATAAAAGAAAATGTGTTTCCACGAAGATTAGATTAGCATCGTTTCAGGTTATAATTTACCGTTTTTACATTATAAATGCTTGGACGCTTTACAAACTGAAGCCTTCTTATTAATACACAAAAGCACTCACTATTTGTCAACAGAGATAATTTAATTAGCGGTGCGTGCGTGGGCGCTTACGCAATGTGTAAAGAAAAAGGTTACAAGAGGTTTAACTAACGTAATCTAAACAAATATTACAAAGAGGAAAGATTTGTATTTATACTTTTTTTAATAGTTGCGCTTACGCAGGCTGTCGTGTGGAAGTCGAGCTTAACGCGGGGACTGGGGCACTCAAAGTCCTGCTATTCAGACGGATAGCGAGACCCTACCCACTATAAACACCTCAGCCCTCCACACGCCCTTAAGATGGGCCCTCGGGGTTCGCTAAGGCATTTAACCCAAGAGACCTGATGCTACATAATACAAGAGCTGATGTTTCTTTAAAATCAACACTTTCCTTTCGTAAATCTTTGAACCTTTTTGTATATAGACATACATTTATTACTAACAAAACACACACATAATAACAATACTCAAAGAAAAAAAATAAAATAAAAAATATAATCGGTCGGTTCGTTTCAAGTGTGTAATGCGTATGTGCTGTGGCTGAGATTGCCCCTGGTTCAGCATTATGCTGAGGAGCAGAATGTTCTACAGAGCTGGTCATTCTGCCAGAGACCACAGCAGCTATTTTGCGCTTCAGTCGCAAAAAAAGAAAGAAAAGGAATGTAATAATACTTAGTAGAAAAAAAAAACTTATATGTATTCAATCTTTGGCTTTAGTTTTTTGTTGTATATAATTTATCTGTAGGAATACGAATGAGATATACATTCCAAATAAGAACAATTTTAACCTAAAACGGGCGACTCTTAAATCTCTGAACTAATCGGTTCTTGTATACACTAAATTTTTTGCTTGGTTTCTATTACTGAGGACCAGATGAAAGCCAGCGGGAAGTAGAAGACAGAGACTTGTGGACGGGTGTGTTGTTGTGTAACCAAAAGATATTTTGGGTCGCAGAGCCAATGGAGTGAGTGTGATAATTAACGCAATTTCATAATTTAGTGTTTGGAACTTTGTCAAACTATTTTCTGTGTTTGACACGCGTATATTACTTATTTCGACTGAATTTGCGTGTTGTTTCCACGAGAATGTAAGTGCGTGCTCCTATTTCAATATTCCTACTGGGGACTGATCTTTGTTTATTTTTATTATTATTAAGTTCTTGATGTCATGTGGAACATATTGTAAAACAAAAAACTTGGCGATTACAAAGAGTAGCGGAGAGTTTATTGCCAGATCTTCTCATCCCTTCTACATTCTTGATTTGAGAACTAGCAGTAAATGTAAAATTATAAGCAAATGTATTTATTTCTTTATTGACGTTCATACATTGTGTTACCTAAATTAATAAATGATTTAGATTTTTTTTTATTAAAAGAAAATTAACTTGTTATGGAATCAACTGTTAAGTTTGATATGGAAGTACTGAGAAACCTGACACAGGTATTTTTTACTTAAAAGGGTGTCCAAATCTTACTCAATATAATGCATTGTTTATGAGTAAAGACTCTTTTTGTCTTTTTGTAAGATTTTAGAATATATTCTGGTTAAAGCTATTGGTGAAAAACTATCTAACAAATCGACATATCACTGGAGCATTCACAATCGCCGTTGCGATCACATAAATAACGATTATACAACAGCCAACGCCCACGGGCGGGTCAAAACTGTGATAATAATTTGAATTTAACCGAGAAGCGTACTTATCACGACACTAGAACATCGAACTTTCTATAAGGGTTACAACATACCTTTGCTTTTCATTCCATAAATAAGGTGGGGCCTTTAGCCGATAGTGAGTGGCCAATTCAAATGCTAACACTACAGAGTTCGATTCCTGTTTAAAATAAAATCATTTGAAAAAACAATTGAAACTTAACCACACGACAGATTAATAAGAATAATATATGTTTGGACAACAATAGTTTTTTATAATGAATGAGCTGTGTTTGCGACTTCCTTGAGGTCATAGGTTCGAACCCCGGCTATGCAACAATTTGTTTCTATACATATAACACTCGCTTGTACCGAAGGTCAAACCCAAAAAGTCAATGGCCAGTGCCAGGCAGATAATAATGATCTCCTACTTGCCTATAATAGGGATGGAAAATTATCACGAAATGGTACAGAAATCTGAACAAAGGGTTATAGTCACTATTTTTTTTAATATTCTACTATGATAATCTGGACATCTTTTTGTGGTTTTCACTGATATAATGCACTTGGCTTGTAAAAAGCAATAACTTCGACCATGGTACTCTTTAAATTGATCCAAAGATTTTTCAAAAATCTATAGTCTATTTTCCCTAACCTTGCTTATTTAGAGGAGAGAAATTATACAATTTAGAGGCGCAGAATGCCTCTAAATTGTATAATCTGCGTATAGACGGATAAACCAAAGTTCCAATTTCGAATTTGAACCGTTACGCAAGATGGCGGCTGTTATCTGTCAAATGGTGTATCTTACGAGCATTGTACTTGCCCTACATATTTATGTTGTTGAATAAAGGAATTTATTCGACAATGTTTAGTAAACCGGACTGCGAATACATTTCTATGTTTATACATTACTGGTATTGTATTTATTACATAACAATATATTTATTACATAAGAATAAAAGAGAGGACACCCACCAGAAAACTGGGAAGATGGAATAAAAGGGATAGCGGTTCGGATTAGAAAATTATGGCAAGGATGAGAGACAAGTGAGAGAATTTGGAGGAGGCCTACACTCCGTCGGAGGTCGAGAGTTCAACATAATGATATGGACTTCCTGTAAACCAGAGTATGTAGAAGTGGTATACAGGCTATTTTTTATGTATTTATTATACCATAGTATATTTGGAAGTGGGAGGACGGAATAAAAACCGTAACTGGGAAAATATGTATCACTAGATTAAGATCAAATTTATGTAAAATTCTGTCCGGTTAAAGACCCATATAATAATTATGAAAGATTATTTTATTTATTTATAAAACACTCTTGCCCTAACTCTCACTCTTGACGCCGCACTCTTGATGAAACAAAAAAAAAAGAAAACACGAAATTAATAAGAAAAACAAAATTACACAATAACAAATACAAAAAATTAACTGACTGCTATAGGCACTAACAAATAATAGAACTTTTGCCAGTTCGAGTGAAAAAGGTCCGTTATCCTATGTAATTCGTTAACAATTAGATAGTATTTAGTCTGTACTTACATCATCTTCTCGCCATAAACAGACTATTTATAATAGAAAATTCATTCAAATGGCTATAATTTTAAAATGCAGAACAACTCACTCACTAAATTGTGTAAAATTAGATGTATTTGGATTAGAGCCATCTGGGTTTACAATTAACACTGTAACTATTCTATCAAGACGTCTGTTTTCGATTATCCGGGGTAAAAGAAAATAATCTGTTTAGAAAACGCTAGGAAAATTTAGAGATTTTTATTTTAGAATCTTAATTGATAAATCAGGTATAAAAATACCAAAGTCAGTACGAAGTTAATACCTCCCAACAATTCAAAGATTATAGAATGTCATCACAAGCTAGATCATAGAAGCTACACGATCTATATTTCATTACATAACTAATATCGAGAGTTACACGCACGACTGCGCGCGAGTTTCACAATTATTTCGACATTTTTCAAACAAATGCAAATTAATGATCGTAGATTTACGATCTGAAGACTACGATTCTATTGTACGCCATGCATAATGCTAAATAAATTAAAAAGACTTAAAACAAGGAAACTAGAGTCTACTAATGCCCGCCTTCCACTGCGAGCGGAACGGACCCCTTACGGACTCCGCTATACTCGTAACGATGATTTTCATAGATGTGCTTCCACCAAAGCGGAGACGAGCGGAGCGGAGAGAGCGAGTTGAAAGAGTCACATATGAGGTTAGCGAGTTGACCGAGTTTCCCACGGAAATGAAAATGTATGAAAATCATCGTTACGAGTATAGCGGAGTCCGTAATGGTTCCGTTCCGCTCGCAGTGGAAGGCGGGCATCACAGTACTTTTTAAAACTATTTATTAAATATTTCCATCATTGCAATTTGCAACCAAATGTCCCAAAAATTTATTCAATTTATTTTTTAAGCAGTTGTGCCAGATATTATCTACGTATGTTGTGATACAATATAGCTAATATTTATGGCTGCTCTGTACAAACAATTTGAATGTAAGAAATAAAAATATAAACACACATAGACACTTAAATATAAATAAA